AAAAGGAAGGAGATGTGAAGAGCTGCATATAAATTTTTACACTCAAGTGTGATTGTTTTTGCCCCGTAACTTGGCTGTGCTGAGGAGGGAGGCCAGGAAAACCGTGCGCCTGTTTCCAGGGAGAGCGTCCCCGGGGACCGCAGCACGCACAGAAACCACCCTGGGCTTTGATCCTGCCTCGGGTTGAGCTCTCCCGTGTGGGGCACCGCAGGGACGGCTTCCCGCGCCTCTGAACAGCGCCGTGCCTCGGTTCCCCTCCTGGGTGCCTGCCACGTACCCGACTCTCTCCCCAGGATGAACCAGGCCCCCACGGTGGGGTTCGAGGGTGATGTGGGAAGTCGGACAACTCACCACTTCATGTACCCAGAGAGTGCCAAGAACCTGCCTGCCAACGTCAGCTTTGTGCTGGTGCCCTTCAAAACGCTGGACCTGCTCTGGATCGCCAGTGCCCTCTCCACTGGTCAGATCAGATTGTAAGTACCCAGGGCGGCGGCTGCCTGCAGGTCTTTGTGCTACACATCCATACGGTCCCTGGGTTGAACCCTGGGCAGCACTGACGCTTGCACAGCTTATTGCAGCAAGCTGGGAGCAATAAAACCTCATGGCTGGGGCTTCAGCCACAGCTTGGCGGGTTTCTCTCCTGTTCCAGCTCACCTCTGGGACCTGCACGGACACTTCTCCGTTCCCTTGGTCGCTTGGGTTGGGGCTGGGGTTGGAGCACCCTGGCGACCCAAAGGCACTAACCTGYCTCTGTGCTTTTCTCCAGCACATACGCGCCTGTGAAGCCTTTTCTGCGGGTGGACAAAGAAAAGGTAAGGGCAGCTCGGCAGGCTCTTCTGTCCCGCCGCGCTGCACCGGCAGCCTGGGGCGGGAGAGCCCCGGGAGAGCGTCCTGCTCATTGCCTCCTCCCTGGTGAGTCCCACGGCTCAGGCTGCTCCCTGGGGACCGTGGCTGCCCTCGCAGGATCTGTGTCTCACAGGTTCCCACAGCCTCCTTGACTCCACTGGCTGTGGAAGGCAGGTGGATGCTGGCCCAGCAGCCAGGAGCGGGACAGGCCGGAGTGGCCGYGGATGGTGCCCTGGGCTCTTCCTTTAGCTCACGTCCGAGTCGAGCGCTGCTCTCCAGCCTGACTTYAGCCTGTCCTCCTAGGTGCAGATCTACAACCCTGCCTTCTTCAAGTACATCCACGACCGCTGGACGGAGCACCATGGGCGCTACCCCTCCACGGGCATGCTGGTGCTCTTCTTCGCGCTCCACGTCTGCGACGAGGTGGGTAGCAGGGGCACAGGCTGCGGCGCTGCATGGCGGGTGTCCGTTCTGCCCTGTTGCTGCCCTGCTTGCTGTGGTGCCTGGATGCCAGGAGGAGATCCCGGCCAGGCACCCGGTTGCGGTGTCACCCTCATCCTACCAGGCTCGTCCTTGCCTGTGGAGGGGGGTGTTTGCCCAGGCGCAGGCAGCGCCCTGCCCTGCCCCTCCGAGCTCTTTCCCGGGGCTCTCCCACCTGGGCGCTCACCTTGGGGCATCCACAGCTCCAGCCCGCAGCCCCAGGCAAGGGGTGAGGACCGCTCTCCCCTGGCAACCACCTCGTGGCACTGAGGAGAGGGGCAGCCTTGGGAACCCCAAGCCTTGCAGGGTTCATTTGCCTGCAAATTTGCCATTTGCGTGGTGAGGAGCAGCCCACGGCGCTCCCCGAAGCCTCGGCGGCAGCCAGGAGGGCAGCACGGGGGCACCTGCAGCGCAGCGCCGCGTTCCGCCCCGCCGCTGAAGCAGCTGCACCCCAAGGCGCCCGYGCTCGCCGTGCTGCTGACGCCCGCCTTGTCACCGGCAGGTGAACGTCTTTGGCTTCGGCGCCGACAGCCGGGGCAACTGGCACCACTACTGGGAGAACAACCGCTACGCCGGCGAGTTCCGCAAGACCGGCGTGCACGACGCCGACTTCGAGGCGCGCATCATCGACATGCTGGCCAAAGCCAGCAAGATCGAGGTGTACCGGGGCAACTGAGCGGCCTGACGACCACGAGTGCTCCAGGTGGCCTTTGCCAATCAGGTGTCCGCGGCGCCGGGGGCATCTCCTGCAGCCGCCCGCCCCGGAGGGGCCAGAGGGCCGGTCTCGGTGCGGCAGCGTCCGGCCACGAGGAGCGGCAGCGCGGGCGGCGGAGCGGCCCCGTGGGCCTTTGGTGCCTCCAGCCAATCAGGTTCTGAGCTAAAAAAAAGGAAAAAAAGAAGACTTCTTTTTTAAAAACAAATTATTATTATTATTATTATTATTATGGAGAAACCTGTTTCAGCCAAGAAGGATTTCCAAACACAATCAGTGACTGAGAGGACGGCGGGAGCGTCCGACTTGCATCTCTTTACAGTCAAACCAAATGCTGCTCTTTTTAAAACAAGAAAAAAAAAGGACAGAAAAAAAAAGAAAAAAAAAAGAAACCCATCGATTTTGGGGGAAACTCCAAGCAATCACGTTCTGGGACAAGGTGGAGAGGATGTTGGGACAATCGGTGTTCCCCTTGGCGATGTCACAGTGACCTTCGTGTCTCACGGAGGCCAGCGCTGGCTGCCCTGAGGAAGGGGCCCTGGAGCACACGGGGCAGCGGCCGCCTTGGTTCCTCCTCCCTGTTGAGTTTCCTGCCCCGCTGGGGAGCCGCTGCCCGGTTCCCACTGGGCAATCCGGTCCTGGCCACAGCTGTCCGTCTGCGCCGCCGCCGTCATCTGTCCCTGGAGGAGGAGGAAGCAGGAAGCGGGTCCGGACTCGAGGGCTGTTTGCGTGGGGCTGTGGYGACGAACGCGGGATTCGGGTGTGCGGTGTGCGCGGAGGGTGAGGCCGGCGCGGTGAAGAGCTGGGCTCCGAGCTGAGGCTCYGCTGCAGCCCCGTGTCCGCGGGCGTGAGCGAGTTGAGTGTCTGCAGCCTGGGGGGCTCCCAGGGAAGGAGAGGGACTGGGGGGAGAGACGGCGCTTCGGGGGCAGCGTCTCCCTCTCCTGCTGCAGCGGGACGGGCGCTCGCTGGCCCAAGGAGGGACAGGGACAGAAGAGACCATGCAAAGGGCAGCTAGGATCCMGCGGGAGCAGTGGCGTGATCCCTGCAGCTGGGCTCTGCGGGACCGCTCCCAAGTTGTGGCAATCTCCATGTCGGAAGGAGAGGCAGGGAGTGAGAGAGGGCTCTGGATGGGGCCCTGGGTGCCTGCGGCACCAGTGGGGCCAGCGTGTGGGCGCTTGGGCCCTGCCGCCTCCGGGCTGCTGTGGCTCCTCGTGCGCACGGGATGCGGCAGCTGTGGGATGCAGGATGCAGCAGCTGCAGGATGCAGCAGCTGTGGGATGCAGGATGCAGCAGCTGTGGGGTGTGGGAGGCCGCTGTGGGGACCCGTCCCACTGCAGGCTGGGGCTGCCCCTCACCAGCGCTGCCAGGGGAGCAGGAGGAAAGCGTTCGGTTTCCTTCTGCCTTTGGAATGGAGGAAGAAGAAAAAAAAAAAAAAAGGAAAAAAAAGATTAGATAGCTTTAGTGGGTGACTGAAATGTGCTTTTGTTTTTGTTCTGGTGCACATGGACAGCTCTGTAGAGAAGCTGAAATCCAAAGTCTTTGCTCCACTTGGAATCATGGACGACTTGCAGGAGGAGACTCAGGAGCCGCGCGGAGGCGGCGCCCGGGCCGGGAGCAGCTGCCAGAGGCGCCTTGGGCTTTGGCAGCGGCTTCCCAGGCGCCTCCCTGCCGTTCCCGGTTCCGCCGCCGTCCCCACGTGGGCGCTCGGGAAGGCAGCGGGTCCTGGCGGCGGGCGCAGGAGGCGGCAGGGCCGGGATTACAGCCCAGTCTTTGCGGGGGCCAATCAAGCAGTCGGTTTTCAGAGATGCTGGACGGGTCGACTAAGAGGCAATCACGGGGATCGCGCCCAAAGAGCCGCTCTCTCCCCAGAGGGACCTTCTGCCCACGGTGGGCAAAGCCCAGGAGCACTGGAGGCCACCACCCCAGGGCAGAGGCTGGGGAGGCCCCACTCGGTCCCCAGCTCCTCGTTGCAAAAGTTATTTAAGGAACAAGCACCGTAACTTTCTGGGCTTTTTTTTTTTTCTTTATCTGGCTTTTTGTTGCAATCTCTCCTATCACACCAGCTTGGGCTGGTTTTCCTCTCCGTCCCCCCTCACCTTGTTTAAGTTTTCTCTCCCCACTCATGAAACTCRAGCACTGGCCACGTGGTGCCGAGCAGCCCCCACGCTGGGGACCTCGGCCTTTGCTTTCTGTGTCCGCGGGGCTTTGAATCCCCAGTTTCTYGGGAGGTTTTCGGGAAGAGCCYGGGCTGYGATGCTGYGCAGGGGCTGTCCCCGTGCGGTGCYGCCGGCGGGGACAGCCCGGTCAGCTCCCAGCACCGTCCTCACTCCTGCGCCTCGTGGTTATCCAGGGGGGTTCCTGGCCTCTCCTTGCACCCGGGTATTTGGCTTTGTTTTTTTTAGAACAGAAAACACACACAAACAAAACCACGAGCAACAACGAGTGCCTTCCCCACGGCCCGTGGGCCCCGCTGGCCTGTACTCACCGCCTCCTCGCTGTCGGCCCCCCGAGCGCCCGTCGCTCCAGCTCATGCGGCGGTTGCATCTGCTCCCCGCCCTGGCCCCGGCGCAGCCGGGCAGGGCATGGGCTGGGAATCGCRGCTGGGGGCACCCCGAAGCCGCTGCTCCCGGAGAGGGGCCTGCGGCAGGCGGGGGCAGCGGGGAGGCCGCATCCCGCCGCCGAGCGGGGCCGGAGCCCAGCGGGATGCGGCCGACCGCGGGGGCGCCCAGCGGGCGGGGAGGCCTTTCCTGGCCGGCCTCCCCCCCAGCCCCATTTTGGCTAAGGGGGCCCCCGTCCCGCGGCCCTTGCGGTGCCCGGGCGGCGCGGCCCCAGTGCCACTGCACTGCACACGGGGGAGACGCGGGCAGAGGCCACAGCGTCGCGCCGAGGGAAAGGGAGCCGGSCGGCTGCTCCCGGGGCCTCTGCCTGCGTGGGTACTTCTGCACACAACTGTCTTAATTGAAACAATTTTTTTTTTTTTAAGTCAATAAAGACCATGCATCGGAGCGGCGCTGTGCTTTGCTGGGGGGCAGCCGGGGAGCGCGGCCGGGCTCTCGGCGTCGGTGCTGCCTGGCTCCACAAGGGCATCCACAGGGCCCTCCTGGGCCTCCGGGGACGAGCGGGAGGCGCCTGCAGGGCGCGGGACAAGGGCGCCTCATGGATAGGGGCTCCCCGCCCAGCCCGGTCCCATGGGAGCTGTGCTCTGGTAGCAGCTTCCATGAAGATACTGGAGTTTCCCTCTCTGGATAAGCCCCACAACCCAGACGCAGCCACGTGCTCCGGCTCGCCCTGCTCCCGCAGAAAGGCGGACGGGGCGGTCTCCAACTGCCTCTTCCAGCCTCCGTGACGGTGACTCCCCTCGTGGTGGCAAAGGCTGCTCCGGATTCAGGGCCGAGGGCCCAGCAGCTGGTGCCGGCTGCAGGCCCCGCGGCGTCGCTCGCGCCGAGCGCGGCCGGGGCTCGCGAGGAGGCCGYCTGCCCGCCAAGCTGCAGCAGCCACAGTATCCAAACGCCTCTTTATTAACATACAGACCTAGTCACACCGGAGCCAACCAAAAATACTGAATGAAATAAAGCAGGATATAGTTASAGCAAACATCCTGGCCTCACCTCTGTGGACAGCAGCGAGTTCCCCCATCTTAGTGCGCTTGGAAATGATTGTCCACGTCCCCCCACTACAACCAAAGCAGCTCCTGGCTCTCCTAAAGCTCCTACTCCTCACCATGGCTGGGAACACCCTGCAGTGCTCTACACATCCCCATCCCAAAGTTGCAATGGATTAAAAAGCCTCAGAAGCACCTGAGACCCTGCGAGGGGAGGGCGCTGGCAGTGGATGGGGAACCAGCGTTGCTGAAGTTGTTCCTTGCTCTGCCCCATCTCCGATGCATCAAGCGCACGGCCTTCGCAAACGTTAAGGCACTAAAACCCAACTCTTCACAGGTCCAAACTTCAGTTGTTCTTCAAAATGGCACTGCGGGAGATTTCGGAAGGCCTCCCAGGCCCGGAGCAGCAGTTCTCAGGGCACTGCCAAAAGCACCAAGGGGCTCTGGGCGAGTGACGTTCAGTGACGCTGCAAGGAGGCGAGCAGGGCCGGTGCCGCTCCAGAGGCAACGTCCAAAGGGCAGGGAAACGCTCTCCGCATGAGCAGGGCCGGGAGCAGAGCCGAGAGCAGCAACAAGGAGCCGGCCGGGGCCGCGTCCGCTCCAAGAGCCTCTCCCAAGCGCTTAGYGGAGAACTCCGGGACGTCACCAGAGCCGGCTGCTCCCACACGCCCTCGTTCCTCCAAGACTGCTGCCGTCGGAACCCTGCCTGGCTGTGATTCCCAGTGAAGGGATGCAGGAGAAGCAGAGACATGCAGGGAAGGCCGCTGGCCTCGGCCGGCGCTGCTGCCGCAAGGCACGAGGGAACAACCGGCACGTGTCCCACCCTGGGAAGCAAGGCTTGGCCCTCACGTGGGGAAAGCTCCTTGGAGCGCAGAGCAAATCCCAACTGTGGCCACAGTGAGAGGCTGCAGCGCAGGGCCCAGCACAGCCAAGAGTTGCTGCTAAACTCGTCAGGACTCCAGCACGCACGTGGGAGCGGCAGCAATGACCAGATCACCAACACAACTGGGAGCCCCTTCCTCAAGTGCCTCTTTGGCTGTAGCTGAAATACTAAGCGTGGCGCAGGAAGGACCCCCTGCTGAAAGCGCCCGAGCTCCCCCGGATCCCCGCTTGGCTCTGCAAACTTCAGTAAAATGCAGTGAATGAAGCACCCTGGTAGAGAAGAGCGTGTGCTTTAATGCAACGAGACACTCGGACCCACGGACATTGGCACCTGCTCCACTCGTTCTGCAGACAGCCCCCCAGCAGGGAGGCGAGGGGCACTCGCCATCAGTGCCCCACAGCTTTAAGGCATCCACAGGCAYTGAAAGCTCCTCCTCCCTCGACTGCAGAGGCTGCTCCTGCCAAGGGCTACAAGCACATGACAATTACAATGCTTAAAAAAAGTTTAAAAGTGCAAAGAAAATTCCAAAATGCCTTTTAGAGACAGCCTGRCGTGCTCTGGATGACACTAGCCCGTTCCTCTCTGCAGATCTGCTGCCTGTCTCTATGCTTTATTTATTGTTCTTTTTTAAGAATGGAAAATATTAGCCAAGGCTTAAGGAAATGTAGATTAAGACAGAAACACATCCCAAACTGGCCTAAAATTTATCTGACCAGGTACTGGAATGACATCATTTGGTATGATCAACCCGAAGATGAACTTCTTTGCTCAAGCTCACCAGTGGGAAGACATTCTATTTTAAAGCAGTAAAGGCCAACACGTTTGCAAAGGACTTTCCCTCTAAAACTGCCTTTACAAATTCTTTACAAAAAGCAGATGTTTTGCTCAGGAAGACCAGTCCTGGGCACGCTACCTTTGCGGAGGCAACGCCACCTCCGCAGAGCTCTGCTGCACAGCAGGGACCTGAGGAAGGTGCTGGGGAGAGCAGGGAAAATACCCGCCCGGGAAGAAGGAAGGATGGAAGGAGGCAGACCAGCCTATAGAACAGAAGGGGAAGGGGCTGACGGGGTTAGAAAGGTCCTCTTGGCACCGCTCGTGCCTGGTTTGTTGGGCTGGCTCAGCTGGAGAGGCTGCGTGGAGGACTGAACCCCGAAACTGCTCCCATTACAGATGTTTCCAGGTAACTTTTCAGCTCACCCAGTCCAGCTTCCCGTGGTTCTGCAGGTGCCAGGGGAGAGGTCTGCAGGGGACGGCAGCGAGGGGCAGGGCAACGGGCACCAGCAACCACAAACCCACACGGCAGCGGGGTCACGACACTGGTATCCGCAGTGGCCAAAGGCTGAGGAGCTTCCACTTGATGCAAAGAGACAGATCTGGAGCAAAGGCGGCTCATGATGAAGCACCAGGCAGAACGAAGCGGGGAATCTTGCTCACAAGGGGATTCGCAGCAGCCACGGCAAGAGGTGGCCACAGGGAAAGCAACAAGGGCTAAGGCAGCTTGAGCACCACAGTGGGAAGGAGGAATCCGAGCTCGCACAAAGGCTTCGAGAGGAAGGGCAGCAGCATCCCAGAACCTGCCCTCTTTGCCACAGAAACTGTCCTCAAGTCACAGCAACTCTGCACCCTGGGACTCAAAGTTAAATGCTTCCTGACCCAGAAAATACAACTCCTAAACAGACAGCTTTAATTTTACCCTCAGATCATTAAATACAAACAATCAAGTCCCTCTCTAATACAGATTTTAACTCCAGTCCTTCAGTACCACTCAAAGGATGGACAAAGCACAACTACTTAAAAAGAGATGTCCCATTATTTGAGTTATAATAGGAACTCACAGGCACCTACACAGTAATAAGCAAAACAAGGAACACGACTGGTTGCAACCGACTTCAAGAGCAAATGGTGGTTAGTGGACAACACGCCCCTAACTCTTCCCCATTTGCTCTTAACTAGTCATAACCCTCCACAGAACAAACTGAAAAGTTTCAGCTAAGAGCTCTCTCCATTAGCTGCATTAAGTATCTCAGTTTGATTCAGAGATATGCTTTATTTTCTCCTAAAGAGCCTCACCAGGGACAACGAATGAGCGATAATCTCTAATCTGAATGGATGCGCTAAGATACACTCTAAGTGTCAAGTATAAAACTCTTGCTTTGGTCTCTCACCTCTTTCCCTGGGTGAGGAAGGTACAGCAATGTCCCATGTAAGAAGCTGAAAGAGGATAGAATTGTGATAGATTTGGGGATAGAAACAGGAGACAATTTCGTGCAGATGCTTTCTGGCTCCCAGAAAAAGCAGTATTTTTTGCAGTACTCCCAGCACCACAGGCCACTCTAATTTCAAGATAGCCCCAAACAGCTGAAAACACAAGATGCTGTTCCCTCCTGCTGCTCAAGTTCCCCAAACTAAGCTAAGCTTTATACAAAACTTGCGTTTGCTGCATGTCCGTTACCAGATGGGCTCGACTGAGCCACACAGAAGAACCAAGTGAGAGGGAGTTCCCAAAGAGACAGCGCAGCTGAAACAGAAACAGCTTTTGACAGCGCGACTCACTTCGAAGACTAACATCTGTCTTCGTTAGACAGTCTCTTTCTGCTAATAAAACCTCCAGAAATTCCATTTCCTTAGATAAGCTAAGGATACACGTTACACGTGTTGCTCTTCAATGATGTTTATAGGAATCCACTTAGTTTCAGTGGCCTCACGCAAAAAAAAAAAAAAATAAAAACAGTATGAATGGTAACAACACCACAAACTTACCAGCACTTCTGTCACCTCAACGACCTGATGATTAATTCTATGTGACTCCCTGTTAGCGAAGGAAACGCTGGGCAAACCTGTCCGGTGACAGGACACACTGAGCCCCGTCCCTTCACGATGCCTTGTGCCAGTGAGGTAGCTGATGGTGCTATGGCTGCGCGGGCCGATGTGCCGAGCGCTCTGCAGGGTGAGGCTGCACCAAGATCAGCCGTGGGGACAGCACACCTGAATTCCAGGTGGGAAGTGCCTGCTGTTCCCGGCCTTCCGCCATGGAGGGGACGGAAAGGGCACGGTCCTCAGGGCCTCTCCTGAGCCCTTCCCATCACCCTAAGGCAAAGGCCCCTGGTGCTCGCTCCTCCACAGGCTTCCCGGCGCGCGCTCCGCACTGCCCTTCAGCCACCGGAGCGCGGGGGAGCCTGGCGAGCCAAGGGCTGGAGGAGGGGGATGGCTAGGGCAAAAAGTGGAGAAAGCTTGAAAATTACAAGTTCTAAAATGTACAAAATGGAACACACTGGAAAAGTTTTAAAAGTCGCAAGACRAGAGGAGACGAAAGAAATACGGGACGAGGAGAAGGACTGCGAGATGACAGCAGAGGATTCCAGCTCGGGTCGGGTCAGCCCTACTCCCTTTGGTAGCCACTCAGTTCCACCTCCTCCTTGCGGCGCCGCTGCGTGAAGAGGGAGCTGAAGGGGTAGAGCTTGGCTTTGGCCTGGAAGCGCTGCCCAGCGATGTCGATCTCGTACTCGCCCTGGTTGATGAAGTCAGTTGTCACCACGAGCTCCTCTCCGGTCTTCTCATCGAAGTGCTGCACGAAGCCCAGGCAGACGTGGCGCTCCAGGGTGTAGCTGTAGGCGCTGCTCGTGGTCTTGCCCACATAGCGGCCGTTGCGGAAAATGGGCTCCCCCCACCAGGGCCAGAGGTCCATGTCTGTGTCGTGGTCCTCAAGAATGAACATGGTGAAGCGCTTGTACACACCGTGCTGCTTCTGCTCTAACAAGGCTTCCTGGCCAAGGAACTCCATTCCCTAGGGAGAGATGGAAGCATCTGCTGATGAAAGGAACATCGACCGCAGCAGTTGCTGCTGTGTGACACAAGGTAAGTTAAGTTTGGAAATTCATGCTTGGTCACGACACCAGCAAACCCAGCCAAGGGCTTTTCCAGCACTGGTTTTTGTTCCAGAGGCTAAACTGTGTTAAAAGTTATCAAAATCTAAGGTTGAAGTGGGCCTTAAAAAAATTTTTTTTAGTTTTCACCATATTACTGACTCCAGAAGAATACTGAGTTTTAAGCATTATAGGAAAACAGTAACAGCCCTAACCATTACACCTGCTTCTCTGAATTCTTTAATACAAGCAATATTTGCACCAGACAAAGCAAAATGAGAATGGAGAAAAAAAGCAAGCGAGAGGGATGGTACCTGCGAACACAACCAAGCAGGACACAACTTTACAAGGTTCTGTGCTTAATGAAAACAGAATTGCTATCCCTAGTGTCCACCCTGTTTTGACTTCATCAAACACCACTGTGGAAGARGAATCATAGAATCACAGAATGCTTAAGGTTGGAAGGGACCTCCAGAGATCATCCAGTCCAACCACCCTGCACACACAGGGTCACCTAGAGCACGTGGCACAGTGCATCCAAGCGGGTTTTAAAGGTCTCTGGAGAAGGAGAGAAGTTGGTTTTTGCTCCATGAAATTTCATAAAGAGCTGCCCATGCCTGCTGCRCTGGCAGGCTCCGCGACAGGAGTCAGTGTCAGGTTTCCACTGTACCTTTTCCAGCTTGACCTGGAACTCCCGCCCGCACTCCATGGGAGTGGTGAAGGCATCCAGGTCCTGGCCCCAGAAGGCAAAGAACTTCTCGATGCGCAGGCTGCGCAGCGCGTAGTAGCCAGCGTTGCGGATCCCGTACTTCTGCCCCATGTTCATCACCTCATTGTACACGTGCAGGGCGTACTGTGGGGGAAGAGTAAAACACAGCACTGCAGGGAAACACGAGGCAAGAGAGGAGGGTCCTAGAAGCCACCGCTGCTGTTACTGCGTCCTGCCTCTGCAGCACAGCAGGTCTGGTCAGCCAGCAAGCTGCACAGAACATGGAAACCCTCCCGCCTGGCCTCTCCTGTTGTTAAACTAGTAACTTTCATATCCTGAGCCAACTCTGACAATGTGCCTCCTTGTGCACATCCAGAACTGCCTGAAGTACTCACAGCTGTAGCTCTTACCTCTATAGGGATGTACAGCATGAACCCAGGCTCTCCCGTGTGCGTGATGCTCATCACGCGGATGCCATTCGCGTAGCCCACACTCATCTCCTGCAGAAGCAGAGGGGTGAAAACATCCACGCTGGAACACAGCACTGAGATCCAGAAGCAGCATAATCCATCACAGAGACCACGCCGAGCAGCCCTTTCCCCTTCCTCACTGCCATTTACCACTGGCTTACATGCAAAGAATTTACATCTAAGAATGCAAACAGTGGTATCGCATTATTCAGACTTCATAATCTCTTCATGACACTCAGCAGGAAGCCTCTGAACTAGGCCAGGACAAAAGCTTGTATTCTAAAGGCAAGACAGAGATGGAATAGATATCTGCTCAGCCTTTTAACGTAGCAGGAGACAATGACTCCACAGTCCCTGATCCCAGCTGCCTCTTGCACTGATAACTTGATAACCGATTGCATGAACTACGCCAAGGCATCAAACAGCACCAAGCCCACTGTGAGTTGAATACTTAAAACAATTTTGCATTTGCCTGTATGCTTAGCAAGTAGAAACTAAAGGGAAGCAGCTCAGAAAGTGAGCCTAGTGAGTGCGTTTAGCTCAACTAACTGCAGGAAATGTGTATGGTTTTAAATACACTGCTGACTGCCCAACATTGAAAGTTTTCCCTTCTCCCACCCACACTTCAAAACACCTAACAGGGTGAGGAGGAAGGAGGCACAGTTACTCACCTTGCAAAAGAGAGAGGGAAAGTGTTCTGGAGTTATTGGGGCATATGACAACTCTGACAAGACATCCACAGCACGAGGACCGATCAGATTGAGAGCTAGGAAGAGGAAGGTAAGGGTTTTAGGATGAGTAGAGAGGTCTTACCTGGTCTCTGACTCGCATATATTCTTGCCCCAATTTCTATTGCTCCTTGGGCAGCAGCGTAGCTCATGCCATTTACTGAAATAATAGGTATATTTACATTTGAGAATGAAGGTGAGAGTCGTGGGGTTCAGTCAGACTCTTCTGACAGTCTGCAGGAAAGGAAAACTGTCTTATGGACAGGATGGACAAGGAGGAAGAGTCTGAATGGCTGGGTTTGTCCAATTGTTTGGGAAAGACACTCAAGCACCATGTAGATACCTTAAACAATTAACTGGCCTTAGGCACAAAGCACCAATGGTGGTTTCGGGGTGCACAAGGAGGTCTGCTTTTGGTGATTTCTTACCCGTGTACTTCCAAGTCACATCTTCCACGGTCAGGTTGCTGTCACTGGGCAAGTGATTCTTCAACCAGGACCAGCAATGGACTTGTTGGTCAGTAGGGGAAATCATGAAGAAGCTGTAATAGAAAAATTGAAACCAGGGTACAGTGAATTGACAGCCACAAACTGCCTCATTACATTCTTTACCAAGGAACATTCAGCAACAACAAATGAAAAAGGGGACAAAAACACTAAGAAGGAACTGCAGGAAGTTTTCTTGAAGAGCCAAGGGTGGCCCAAAAGCCATAAGCATTTTGCAGGAGTATCTTGCAGCTCTTCCAAACCAGCGGCTGCTCTGGCGACTCTAACAGTCAAAACAGAGCTTAATTCTCAAAACAATTTCTTGTTTCAGCAAAAATCTGTTCATACACAATAGTGACTATTATTAACAGCTTCCCAAAACAGAATTGTGTTTGTTACACTGAAATGACAGATATTTGTAGTACAAGTTTCTACAGTGTCTTTCATACAAACTATGAGCTACAGCATATTATCAATACAGACAATACATCTGCAAAAATGATTAAAAGAGGGAAAGTTGAGGGTTTCACAGRGTAGGATGACACTTTTAAGTAATACCTGAATACTGATAGAAGAGGAAGAGAAAGAAAAGCTGTTTCTAGCACTACAGGCTAAAAAGGAGAATATTTTTCCCACCACCGTAGTAAAAACATGCATAGAAAATGGACTGGCGAAATAAAACCAATACTAAGCTGGACCACCAGAAAGTCTTTAGAATGAGTACACTTTTCTTAAATTGCCAAGACAGCTCCAAACAGTGAGTCTAACGATTAGCTCGTATAAGCCTGCATACAGAATACAAACATGAACTATGAAAGAGCTAAGAATCAGAGAAACCACACTGCAGTGCAAGTTGAATTAATCAAGAAGCACCTCCAGCATGGAAATCCAACGGGAATACTGCCCAGGAGCCAATAAGCAAACATTCWCTCCGCATTTCAAATACATACATTAGTCACCTCTAATGCTGAAAACAATTTGCCTTTTCACATTTGAGAAACATTTGAAGGCCTAAAAATCTGCAAAAATCTATTTGTAGTACTAGAAAAAGGTGTATTTTTCCCAATAATAGTGATGCAGCGTTCACCTGAACAATCAAGGCTTTATTTTGAAGCCAAAGATTATCCAGGAGGATAAATCAGCTAGTGGGTCTCCCGAGGAGGCTCTCAGAGGCCCTGGCAGCAGAAGGCTGACGGTGAGAAGCGGAGCTGTGCGCACAGGTACCTGCGTTTGCTCAGGCGCGCGATGCTGCAGTCGTTCTCGTAACCACCCTGCTCGTTGAGCATGCCCGTGTGCACAACGTGCCCGACCGGCACGTCCAGGTCGTTGGAGAAGAGGTACTGCAGGCTCTCCAGGGCCTGGTCTCCTGTGGACTACAGGAACCAAAATGGAAAAGTCAGACAAGCTGCCTCTGCAACATCGAGTCACTGGGGCAGTGTAAGATGGCACCAAAATATTTTGGCCCAAAAGCGCTCAATTCATAATAGCTGTGACATTGCTGGCTCAAGCTTAATAGCATACAGTGGTGACAGTGTCGAAACTTTGAGAAAGGTCAATCTTTTTTGTTTTCTTTTTTTTTTTTTTTTAAATAAGCTGGTATTTCTACAAAATAAAGTCCTAGATTGAAAAAAAAAGAAAAAAAAAAAAAAAAAATCCCTGCTAAGTATTGTGGTATAACCTGGATTTGGTCATACAGCTTGGCTTCCTCTTTCTATCCTCAGCAGGACATGTGGCATTTTAGGAAAGCTGCTGATAGCAAAGAAAAGGCTGCCTTTGAGGGGCTGGTGCTTTGTCACTTCCTAGGTACTTACGCTTATTTCAAACTTAGTRAAAGATGACATGTCAATGACACAAACTGCTTCCTTACAGCACTTGACTTCTGAACCCACAATATCAAACCAATCTGGTTTGTAAAAGGTTTTGCTCTGATCCAAATCCAGCAGATCTAATGTAAAGAAGAATCAAAGGGACAATTCATAAACTCCATGAACTAAGAGCTCACACAGACCAATATGGGTGCACTAGGCAAAGACATGATCTCACCTTTCCCAGGGGGGACAAAATATTTGACTCTCTCAAATCCATGTTTCTCCATCCATCTAGCTCCCTGGGCATCCAGACGGTCATATAATGGTGAAGTGCGCAGCTGCCTGCCTGTCTGGAAGTCCCAACGGGGAACTTTCAGATCACAAATGAGAGCTGCAATAGTCACAAGAATCCACCATTAGGTAAAGTGAAAAAAAAAAAAAAGCATTTTTATCTATTTTTTCTTCTAAATTACCTAAAAAGATATTTGTTCGTAACTGAGCAATTAATGAAATTCCCTCAAAACAATTCTGACTTTCCTCTTTTATTTCTGGAAACCAGCAAACCTGTTTTGATCTTATAGTTATTGGAAACCAGAGCAAGGCTATGCGCACAAAACAATTACAGTCAACAAATACTTGGGGCCTCATGACAATACTGTCAAGATAACTTAACAAAACTCTTTTTTCTTTTTCCTCCATGAAGCTGTGCTGACTGATATCAATTATTCCTGGTTCTTCACTGACAGCACTGAGACACTGTAGCAGCCTCTGATCACTCTGATAATACCAGCACTATGGCAGACAGCCCATTGCTGCAAGGATCACCTAAGTCAGCTTCTTTAAATACTGGCAGCTCAGCTCTTTCTCATTCTAACCTTTTCCAAATGGCTCCTGTACCTTTCCACCTAATATGCAATATTAAGAAAAAAAATTACACTGATAAACATTTATTGTCCTCCCTCGCTGCTACTGGGAAGTAGTATTCAGGGATACTTGAACACTTCTTCATAAATGTTGAGACAGTACTTAAGTCTCCTTAGGTCAAAACACTGAAGATGAGATAGCCCAATAACTCTTATTGGGTATTTCTACTGGTTTTGCCTCATAACTAATTACATTATCATTTTTTGAATTGCTACTCTTGGGAAAGTGAGTAAAGGGAGGTATGAATGAGTATGGCAATGTAACAGCTAAACTGGACACAGTACTTCCCTTGTAAAAGCTAGAGATTCTGTAGTTAGGAGAATTCGGATTTACTGAAAAGYGAGTAAGGTCAAAGCCTAAGAGAGTTTTGTTTCCTGGATATATCTACTCTAAGAGCTTTATTCAACCTCTGTGATTTCAACCGAACCCACTTTTACTGTTTAGACTTCATAAGAAATTTAGAATTAATAGAAAAAAAGCACTGCACCAACAGCACCTCCCTAAGATTAAAGATTAATAAGAACGCTGCTAACAAGGAGACCAAGCTCTCCCTCTCTCCTGGGAACAGGCTGCACTGCCACAAGGGAGGCCAGGAGGAWGGGAAATGGTTCTTAGCACGGCTGCACTGACAGAGGGCAGGCAGTGCAGCAAGCCCTGCACAACTCGGAGGGTGCTCACTCACGCATTACTTCCATCACGCGGTGCCGGAGGAACGTGCGACTGCTCTGAAGAGACCCAAAACGTTTCAAATCCAGAGGCCAGACGTTTTCCGAGGGGTAACCATTCACCATCCACTCTGCCAGGTACCTGATTGGAGAAGTAAATAAGACCAAGACATTACTCGCTATCTTAGGAGCRGGAGTCTAGGTTTGAAGCCCAGAAGCAAGGCAATTTTTGACATAAGAATTTTGTGCAGGAGGGAGAGAACTTAACTAACATGATTTTCTAACCTCTGGCAGAATCCGGAAGATTTCCCTTTTATAAAACCCATCCACCAGACATCCAAATTACTAATCTCCCATTAGCAGATAACATACAGGGCAGCAGGAAGTTAAGGACAYGTGGTAAACGAAGCCAGAGACCAGACAGGGAGCCCAGCTGACACCTTGTCAAGTCCTCAGGCCACGCTACAAAAGGCAGCRCTGCGCACGCTTAAGTTGGAGTTAGGAGGCCGACTGCTTTGTCATTTTTCAGTACCTGGTGTAGGCTCAGCCACAAACCATCAGTGACAGCATTCATTTCAGCACGAGGTACCAGCCAAGTTATGTCTAGCTACACTTCTAGCAGTGAAGGAGGAAGGCATGCTCCAGAGCTAAAGGACAAAGGCAGCTCAGACCAAAGCAGAGCAGAAGGATCTGTTCACAGTCAGTAAACAGAAAAACAAAGGGGGTTGAAAGTGGTCATTAAAAGGTACATCAGCAAGCTAAGCTGCTTATCTTGAGGCTGTAGCAACACATGGACAAGTACCAGTTTACCTTCAAAAGCGATTCTAATTCTTAGAGAAACTCCCTGCAAAGATTCTCTGCACTTTATTCTGRGAGAGCAAAATGATTATTTCCTTCCCCGGTGAGTTCAGCTATTAGGCAACGGACAGAAACAAACGCACAGTGCATYTCTCATGAAAAACAAGCAGCTTGTTGGGAAGTCTGCATGACAAAAGGGATGATGAGCTGCCAAAAGCAAATCACACTCAGAGGAAGTCATGACCATTTTGCAAGTCACGTTGTTGCTGGATGGCGCTTCTATGCCTGCCAAAGTAGGTGCACTATTTGCACAATTAACACAGGACTTGGACTGTCCTGGGAGATTATTACATCCCTAGCTCAGTGGCAGAGGACAGACTTTAAGGATATAGGCAGCACCTCATGTGGCATGSGTAGTGTTTCGGTGACATCAGATCGACCCTGTTTTCTAAGAAATTAACTGTAGTGTCAACCTGAACGCCCCAAGGGCTCCAGCCCAATAAAAAGCTAAAGGGGAACATGATTTCTGAAATGTGACTCCTAAAGACAGGTGTACAGGACAGGAGAATGCAGATTTAGGATATGTACAGGAGAACGTAGTCAGATTGTRGTAACTGTCCCCCTCCTTCACTCGAGCAGCAAACAAAAAAAGTCTTCTTTGTGTAGCAGAGAACAGGTCTCAAATACTGACCAGAACAGTCTACACAGAAGGATCATCTGAGCAGCCTCTTTTCTTCATTAAAACCTTACTTACACATATATAATAGTATAAACCACTTACTTGCCTGCTCCCCCACCATATGAGATACCAGCCGAGTTCATTCCGGCCAGGACGAAGTAGCCCCGCACGGCGGGCGACTCCCCCATGATGCAGCGCATATCTGGGGTGAAGGTTTCGGGGCAGTTCACCAGCTGCATGATCTGCAACGCCTCCAAATCCGGCATCCTGCGCAGAAGGGCGCTCAGAAGTGGCTCTAGTGCCCAAGACAGACAGACAAGACAGAACGTCACCTCCTTCAGCATCCAAGCACTTSAGCTATTTCGCCTTCCTCTTGACACTGGACACAAACTAGCCTGTGTAAAGCAGGACAAAATGGGAAASCAGGACAGACAGCAAGGGCTTTCTCAAGGCCTTTCTAGTAACATGATACCCTCCGGAACCAGGGAGCCTGGGACACCACCTTGCATCCAGCAAACCAAGCATTGCATTTAGTGGTGTAACAAGGTTTTCTGTTCTTTTTTGGGTCCCTTCCTGGCAATTCCCAACATGCCATTTGCTTTGACAGCTACTAAGTCCACATCTCAGGGAACTAATATAACCCCAAGGTCAGCTCAAAGTCCCTCATTTTGTAAGGTGAAGGTAAGATCGTTCACACCCCCCCCACACACACACAAACATGCAACACTTTTTCCTCCCTCCATTTCCTTGCCAATTTGCTCTGTCAGGCCTGAAAGGGCCTTCTGCAACCCCTCACAGCCTCACAGTAAGGGGATAAGCTTCGTTTTTCTTGTTTGGAAGTACCTCTGCATAAYACTCTAGACAAAAGCCCTCACCATCCAGCACTGAGACTTCCCTGCTTCACACATAAGCACTAAAACAATCATGTTTCCCACAATCTAAGAAGTTACAAACAGAAAGCCTTTCTGACCTCATCTTTTTCTTCCCTCTCATGCATAAAATTCTAGAGCAACAGCCAGAATGTATGGATTATTTTTTCCTTATTGATAAAAAAGAGGGGTCAGCGTTAAACCTGTTCCTATATCCAGCTCTCTGTTCAAACCTCTTTGCAGGCAATTTTAAAACTGAACGAAGCAAGCCTGCTGTCATCTATAAATCTAAAAACTTTCAGCAGATATTAGCACAAAAGCGCATCCTAGTCTGGCTCTGCCCCATCACCCTGGAGTTTGAGCTGCTTATGGTATCAATAAGGCACCTTTCAGACAGGAAAATAAGACATCAATCTAAAGGAAAAGACAACATTTGGAATATAACAAACCACCCTGTTGCCAATGGCATGATGAAATCTGGAAAGCAACAACATAAASTGCTGTCAAGCAAAAAAAAATTACACCAATGTAAACACAGTTGGCATTCACTGCTGGAGAGAGCTGCAGAAATAAAATACCATGGCCACATGGCAGGCCACCAGTGCTCATCGGCAGTGTCACACGAGCAGCTGCAGGTGGCCCTGACAGTCAAAAATCAAATGTGAGGGCAGAACAATGTTGGAAAGTTTACGTAGCCCTTCCCTGCACAGGAGAAATGAGTGCTGAAAGTGAGTGGGTGTTTTTAAATGCTGCCCAGCTGTTGGTGTAGTCCTTGGTCAAGGGGTTTTACATCAAATACTGACAAACCAAGAGATGAATTAATTTGAGAGAACATTCATCTTTCCCACACCCGAGTTGAGTCTAACTGCTGACTCAGCCTTCTGTCACATTTCACTAAGGTTGCTCTTTTCTCTCCGACATACCAAAATGATCCCAATCTTCCTGGAGATTCTGGATCTCCAGCTGGTTCCGTCCCTCTGTGAAGAGGGGTTTGGGGTTTTTCTCGAAGCCTCCCGAGAGGATGCCACCTTGCCAGTTGCGTATGTAGATCCTGCCATCTGGGTCCACAATAGCTGCAGAGGAAAGAAAAGTTGAGGGAAAAGAATGGAGGGGAGGGGTAAATACCTCAGCCCACTGTTCCACAAACACCCTGTTGMGCTTTGTTGATATGCTGGGCTAAACTAAAAGCCCTCTGCCATGAGATGGGGCAGTATCAGTCTCCCAGCTGCACATTTCAGCCTTGTTCTAGTCCTCAAGTGAACCTTCAGGGAGTCATTTTAGGTTACCAAACCAGCATTAACCCCCCTCGTAACCATGCATGATAAYTCTGGGGCAGCACAGTAAACAGAACTGATCACACCAAAGGCAGGACAGTGTTGCCAGGAGCAAGGAGTCACAACTTGTCTGGCACCAAGTYGTTAGACCGGCTTAGCTCTGCTGAAACTGCACCCAGGACCAGATCTACCACCACCAGAAGTCTGTCCAACCCCCTRTTTTTATTGAGAAGAGCTAATTTGAATAGGCACAAGTCACTGAGCTGCTCTGCTGCAGGAATATCTGCACAAAGAAAGTGGGCAGCACTGGGGTAAGGAAAAGCAGCCAGGTCAGGAGGAATTCTTTCAAGGAGGTATCAACTCGAAGCAAGTATGAATTTCCAACTGACATGCTCCGTAGTAGCTTTTACACATATGGAGAAGCAGCAAATATATATTTTTTAAATTACACAATCAAGTAAAGCGAAGCAGCCCAGGCCTCTGGTCAGAAAACTGATTTTCCTGGAGAGCATCAGCTTTACTCACAAGAAGCTCTTCCTAAAGACTGAGCGCAAATAAGAGAACTTTCCACTTCCCAAGGGCAGTTTTCAAGCACAAGAGCTTTTCTTCTAAGAGAGCCAAAAGCCAGAACCATGGGGGAGGAGGAGCAATTACCTCAAGTGCTTTGGTTGCCCCTACAGCTCATAGACATGCAAAATGCCACTGTAAAGCCTTAGCTTCAGTTGGAGGAAAGCAATAGATGGGCCATTTGGGGACAGCAGCCTGAAAGGAAAACACAGTGGCAAGGCTAGCACCCTCTCTCCAGCCCACAAAGGCAACAGCCCAAGTCTGGAAAAAAAAGATGGCTTGTAAAACTGTACAGAGTTAAGGTCACTCTCCTCCTTAAATTGACCAATTCTGAAAAATCTCAGTTTCGCAGTAAAAGTTTCCCAAGAAGGAGAGAGAGCATCTTCCTACCACTAATGGAAGACTCTAAGAGCAAGTCTGCTGGAATGCACTTCACAATCCCCACCAAGCTGAGAACTGATAGACCTTAGTAAAGATTTTTGTGGTCATAACACACCTACCTCGTCCTTGCAAAGGCAGGTATAATTCACCTGGAAAGGCAGGTATAATTCACCAAGAAAAGTGGAATAGAGCTCAAGAATCCTTACTTGGTATGCTGCTTGGTAGGGGTTCCTTCAAAGGATATGTCAGGAGATAAAAGTGTTCGCAGGCGTGGACTGGGATACTGACGTGCTCCTCTCCAGCGAGGCCCAGCTCATAGGCCCACTAAAAATAAGAAAGGAAAAGAGGGAATGGGGTGGAGGACAGCATGTTAGAATGCAAAAGAAGAAAAGTAACTCCAGTTTAAAAAGGAAGATTTTTGCTGCTTACATAGAATTTGTGCTGTTAGGGATAAAAAGTCTGTTTCTGTTCTTCAAAACCATCTAGGAAAGTGGGGCCTCGACGCAAGACTAGGGATTGTCAACTTACAATAAAAAAGCAAAGTAAGATTTATACATCAACATTATGCTAGCCTCTAAAAGTATAACTGAGAAGAGCTAGATGCCTGTACTGCTAGGACCCCATATGAACAACAAAGCTAGCTGCAAGATGAGAAMCAGCAACTGTCAGATGTGTTTTCACAGCAGAAAAGCAAAAGTACTTAAAAGAAAGCAAAATACAAAACTCTTTTGGGATTCCCCTGAAAAGTCTCCTTCAAAAACACCGAAATATCTACAACAAAGAAAGGAAAAAAGAAAAAAAAAGACAGAAAAAAAACGTAATAATCCAACCTGGCCAGCACAGTTGACAAAGTACTGGCAGGAAATCTGTCCTCTGTCAGTCTCCACTCCGGTCACACGGCCTTTCTGCACCAAGACATGACTGACGCTCGTCCGTTCATGAATCTGGACACCTGAGAGGACATAAGAAAGGCAGTGTTCATGCCAAAGTGTCAGGCTACTAACAACAAACCCCATCTAAAAGCTGATTTTTCCTTTTAGGAGCCAATTTTTGTGCTTGACTTGCTRATTCCTGATTCCTGCTGTCTGTAAAACAAATAGATGAAACTTTAAATGTTCATAACTGAAAAATTGAGATTGTGAAGAGGTGCAGTGTCCTTTTCCAGGTGACAATCTGGGTGATAAACACACCCCAATAGCAACAACATGAAAAAAAAAGTGATCTCTAACTGTAGACCTCCTTTGATTGTAACTCCATTATGCCAAAAAGTTTGAGGCCTCGGAACAAGCAAGACTGCTTCTTCTTTCATGGGAACTCAGTCATTTTGGGACAAAAATCGTTTGACAGTATTCAGAAATATAATAGAACTCAAAGAAAGACCRTAACTTGTCCACACAAAAACAGTTACCCTCTAAATATTTATTCCTCTCTCCAAGGGACAGTAAGTCTTATAATAATAAAAAACACCCCAAGCCCAGCAGCACTACTCTGAGTGGCACTTAAGAGTACAGAAAGCAACTGTTTTTTTGGCCTTTTCTTCCAATCTGACAGATTTTCATGCTTAACGAGCCTCACCCCTGTCACTAAATCTATGCTTTGCTCCACTTTTAAGCCTTTCTGAGTGTGCTAAAGTGTTGTCCAAATAGTGTTTACCATTTGAGTTCCAAAACTGCTGGAAGCCTCTGTGCCTGATGAAACAGTCATCAAGAGAACCGTGCCTTTTGCTTTGCAGATAACTAAACTCTTCTGATGTGCAACTTTCATCAAGTCCTACTAAAGATTGTATTTATGACAAAAAAAGCATGTTTTTTTTTTCGGAGAAATATGTAAGTAATGAGTACAGCAAAATGGTGCTTGAGCTATCAAAGCATATTCCTGAAGATTCAGAACGTGGGGGGAAAAAAAATCAAATCTGGCTTCCGTTTGAAGGGAAAAATGGGTTTTAGAGAATAGGAACCTTACAGAAATCACCCAATGTCAGTCTTCAATGGCCAGCCACAGCCATCAAACYGAGAGCAACCTCATGCAGAAAACTATATTCATTTCTGGAAACGAGACACCTATCAYGTGGGAGAGGGTTCTGCAGACGAAAGAAAAATCTCCTACCGTTCCGCGAGGCAGCAGTTGCCAGCGCCAGACTCACGTCGGCTGAGGACACGAGCGCATCTCCTGGCACATACATGGCCCCCACCAGGTCATGGATGTTGATGAGCGGGTGGAGCTGTGCCACTTGCTTGGGGGTGATAATTTCGCACGGTATTCCTGTTACACTGCCATAAAACACAAGGCAGAGGCTGTCACTAGGCCCGCAGGAGGGCCGAGGCCCAGTGGAGATCGCTTACGTTTCCTCTCATACGTACTTCAGCGATGAGGCAATGCGTTTCAGAGAGATTAGTCGATCCTGAGTCTGAGCCAGGGAAATAGAGCCTGTCTTCAGGTACCCTATGACAATGACCAAAGTCAAGTCAGATTTGGACAGGATCCATGAGTTCTTTTAAACTCAGACCCATTGCTTTAGACTCATTGCTTCCATTACGCAGGAGCCTGGAAAACCTAGATCAACTGTGTTCACTTATCAGTTCGCAATCAAAACTAGCCTTACTCGACATTGCAAAAAGGCAATTTAATCTTATGTTCTAATTGCCCTACATTGGCTTGTGTTTACAAAAATAATTAAGCCGCACACGTGCTACCAATTAAAAGACAAGAGAGGTTACTGACAAAACCAGAAAATGTTATTTAATATCTACCCAATCAGAAGAAAATCTTACCCACTAAAAGCAGGACATTTTGTGACAACCACACCCGCTGCAATAGGTTATACTATCTGCTAAATCCTAGTCTTAATTACAGGCACAGTTATTAACCTGGGSTGAGTTTGTCACATATCACAAGTCCTTGTAACCGGGAAACTTATCAGGGCTGAAAGTTCTCCATATCAGCATTTTGGCCGGGGTGAGGGGGAAGATTTCAACACGATGTTTCCTTGATGTTCCCAAGAGTGAGGCCGGGGTAAAATATCTTGTTTTGCCTATGTTTAGCACTTATGTTAATTTTTTTTGGGGGGGAGAAGCAAACTGGTGCAGAAACTGGGTCATTTGCTCCAGTCTCTGCATTACCTTTTTCAGCCTCCATGGAAAAAAAAATCATCTATATTTGTCCAGGTTAMAAACAACAGAAAAGAAATGACTACAGTTTGCAAGTAATCTGCCTTCAGCTTCAGCACCTGATCCCACTTCCTCCTGGTCTTCTGATCACACAAAAGTAACTTTCCTTTGCAACCGATTCACTCTAAGGATATCATCTTGGAACAGGAACCACCAACTCTAAGATGCTATAAAATCACACTGGTGTTTCAGTATTAACACTTTGAATTTCCCACAGATTCCTCAATCAGGCCGAGGTGACACCTGCAGTACCTGTTTTCACTCCCGTCTCTTGTTCCAGCTGCTCATACAGCTTGTTGGAGTAGTCTGCCATCTTGAGCTCGATGGACACTGGCCGGGCTGCGCTCACGATGCCCGCACAAAACCGCGTAGTCCCCGCAGCCAATCTGCAAGAGAAGATGCAAGGGAGGCCTCATCCGCCTGGCACGGCGGGGGAAATAAAAAGATCTCCCAAGGACGTTGCTCCAGCACTTTTGCTGACAGCAAAAGCCAACCAGAACCTCTCCCCCAAACATGAGACCTAAGGTATCTGTCCACAAGGCAGACAGCRTGGCTCTTGGGTGGCAGGAGCTTACGCAAAGTGTCACTGATTTCCTCSTAAGGAATAGGTGTCTGCTGCACTGTGCATAGAAATAAGATCAGCATAAAACAAAATTAATCGATGCTGGTAACAGCTGCTTTGGATCTCAAATGTGTGATGTTAACCTGCGTCCATCAAGCATCCTCTCCTGGAATAAACTATTAGCTGCAGTTACCACAATCAGACGCTTCTGCTCCCAGATCAAGGTGAAATCTTTCCCACACTCCCCATAACAAGGTTAGTTTTTGCTGTACATGTGAAAGAATCTGCCTTTGCTACAGGTAAAATCAGTGCTCCCATAGCTTCCCGCACACTGCAGAAGCTCTCCCATTAAAACTCAGTGTGACCACCCGCCTGGGATGCCACACTCACATGAAGCCCCCCTAATTCCACCTACTCAACACAGCAGTGGAAGTTCATGGTCAGCAATGCATATATAAGCCCTCTGAGAATCATCACATTGAAAAGCAACTGGTTCTAGCAATTTTCAGGTGTCTGTTTCCTATGGCAATAAAACTTCAACTCCTTTGAAGACACAGCATGAGAGGCTTTGAGGTAACTCTGCAGCACCCCATAGCACAAAATCCTAGAGAAGAACTATGGAAAACAGTACAGAATGGCATAAACTCCATCAGCCAGAACTTGATCAGCTTCGCCTCTCAGGATAGGTCTGGTTACATAACTAAAACTTTAAAATTCTAAGCTGGGTAATTTTATAAAGAAAGCACTTTAAAGTTTTACCCATATACTCAAGTCTACCTTCTTCCAAACTGGGATTTCCCTTGGGTGAAAATAAGCTTAGGTTTGGGTCTTACATCCTAGTGTGCAGCAGTGACGTGCAGAGAGGCACTCTGATTTCTTCTCCCTTATTAGACTGCCCTTAAATAATTGTCTATCTACCTGTTTCGTAAAGGGCTGCTGTAAGACAGAAGACCTACTAAAAACTCTCTGCAGCAGAAAGAGATGAAGATGAAACATTAGATTTGAGCATACCTCTCTTCAATACTTCCAAGCTATCTTTTTTTGCTGTTAAAGCAATCCTGCACTTTTCCATTGCCAGGCAAGCCTCTGACAAGGTTACTTTGGCCTAGAATCTCCATATTCCTACAGAAATCRCTCGTGAAAGGTACTCTTTTTGCTGAGGCCTTAGACACAACAGAAACAGCTGAAGCAGAGGTAAATCTGCTTACTATAATTAAATGCTTAGGTTTTTGTTAATGCATTTTTTTTCTTTTCCTTTCAGCATGCACATAGAGATTGTGCAGCGAGTCATTTGATTAAGATCTTTCCTAATAAGGATTATCTTCCCTTGCAAATGAAGCCTGGCAGCTAATTTCACTCAGCAAGACATAAGGTCTCATAGAAGACTTCCAATTTCTTCTCTTTACAGCTGGGAAGACCTTGACACTCCCTCCTTTGTGGCTGTGTAAAGTCAAGAAATCACAGCTAATGATTCTTGCAAACAGCATCAGGTGGGAAGCTGTGAGCCACACAGTAACACCTCTCCATCCAGCAGGTTTGGAGAGCCTTGGAAGCTGCTGTGGTAAATGCTTCTTCTAACTCCCAGAAGACCAAACAGTTCTTAGGACCATCTCATGCCACAGTTCCCAAACTTCTTAAAGAAAACACCAAAAATCCACTTCTGAAGTTGAAATCTAGACAACTGGAAAAGGCTGYGCAGTGAATTTCAGATTGGATCTGTGCGCTCTAGCAAGACTTCAGATCCAACTCACCAAAGAGCATACGAGGTGGTTTTCTACCTTGTATTCAACCAAACTCTAATGAATCCGTTTTACAAAAAAAACACTAAATCCCTGTAAAAACCAAGGTCTAGATAATGAAAACCTTTACCCAGTTTCCAGGGCTATGTTTAGCTCATTTCTATGGGATAACCTCCACATCTCCTGCAATCACAACACTTCATTTAGCCAGCCCAGGCCAGTTACAGACAGGTCACTGGGGCTGGATGGTGTATGCAGATTTTTAGGTCTTCCAAGTTGCCCTGTTTTGTTAAAATATTCCATCTTTGCAAGCTGCATTTGCTTATTTTTTGCATGCTCACCACCAGTGAGTAAAACAAGACAAATTTGAGTCCTAGCTCTCAGGCTATTCCTAATGCCAATGTTTCTTGTAGGGCAAAAATATATTAACTTATCCTAACTCTTGCAGCTGAAACTGCTGCAGGCAGGCKGGAATGTAAATCTAAACCTCCTCCAAGCTTATGCATACATAAAAAAAAAAATGCAATTAACTTTTGCCTACTCCATGAGCTCCCACACCTATGTGTAACAGTCATGGCTAGGTTTGCAAAGGAAGTAGTAAGTAGTAAACTTAGTAGTAAGCAAAACATAGTAAACRAAAGCACTTTACACCCTGCAACTCTGAAGAGCCAATTGAGAAATCAGCAAGACACTGGTTGAGCAGAAGCTCRGTATGGATGCAAAAGCTCAGAGTTCAGGTCTTTTCAGTTTGTGACTTTTTGTGTCTTGGGGAGGGAATGGGAAGTGGAACAGCAGGTCTAAGCACCCACCTTCCATCTTTCTCATGAGAAGACCTCCATCCTTACCTGCCCTGCTCGAGCAGGACTATGTCCTTCCATCCCAGCTTGGAAAGGTGATAGGCCACCGACGTGCCCGTGATTCCCCCGCCGCAGATGACCACCTGCGCTTGCGCCGGCAAGGAAGCGGGATGAGGCTCCGCTGCGCTCGAGGAGCTTCGGCGGGAGCGCGTCCAGCCTCCCCTCGGCGGGCGGGCCGCCCGCCACCGCACGTCCGACAGCAAGCGCAGAAACATCCCGGCCGCTGCRGGGGCCTTCGCTGAAAGCCCTGGCAAGGCGTTCCGACCTGCTCCTTCTAGGAAGGGAAGGCGAGAGTCACATTCCTGCTTGTGTTATTATGTACAAAGATACGTAATATTCTGCTGGCAGCGGCCAACGTCACATGGCGCCCGGGGTCGGAGGGAGCACGTGAACGCTGTTGTGTAAACAAACCCRACAGGAGTTATTTAGGGCCCATGGAGCAGCCCTGCTAGGAGGGTTTAAACCCAGGGCAGAGCAAGCGGTGGGCGCAGAACGTGGCAGCCGACAGCAGCCAAGGAGCAGGAGGAAAGGGAGGGTTGGGGTGGCTCGCAGGCCGACAACAGGTGGATTGGAGAGGAGAGCGGGGCAGATCGCGCCTGAAACCCTCCGCGCGCTCTCTGGAAAGGGTTAAGGCGAACGAGGCGGGCAAACGGCCTCAGTGCCGGCGCTGCGACCCTGGGGGCGGCTAGGGGCTCCCGGCGGCGCGGGGCTCGCAGCTCGGTACCGGCACCCAGCGGGGCGGCCTTAACCGAGCCCGGAGGGAGCGGGTYCGGCGGCCGCGCTGCGCGGGGAGCGACGGCGGCCGCTGCTCACCTGGGGAGGCCCCGCCGACCTTCCGCGCTCCACGGCCGCCACACGGGGCCGCGCTGCGTCACGGCGCATGCGCCGCTCCCCCCCCCCCGCGCGCCAGGCGGTGGCGGGAAGCGGCCCCGCCCCCCGCCCCGAGGAGCCGTTAACGGCTGCGCGCGCTCCAACGGCGTCACGGTTTAAAAAAACAAACAGAAAACCGAAACGAAAAGTAAAAACGCGGTAAAAAGAATCCCCACACCACCAGTAAAAACCTGCAGACTCTTTTTTTTATTAAATTCTCCCATTTCATCTGTACAGAAAAAAAAAAATGCACATTATGTTCAGAATCTCAGTAACATCTCAAAATTACACAGCATGAACACGTAAAAACAAGAACCG